CCCCTGAGATGTGTGCAAACCTTGTGGCCAACTACAAGAAACGTCTGACCTCTGTGATTGCCAACAAAGGTTTTGCCACCAAGTACTAAAGCACATTTTGCAAAGGGATCAAATACTTATTTCACTCATGAAAATGCAAATTACTATATAAGTTTTTTGTAATGCATTTTTCTGGATTTTTTTGTTATTGTTGTGTCTCTCACTGTTCACATAAACCTACCATTGACATTGTAGACTGATCATTTCTTTGTTAGTGGGCAAACTTACAAAATCAGCTGGGGTTCAAATAATTTTTTCCCTGACTGTATATACACATACATATATAGCTTATATAATTTGTAGTACAAGTGTTTGTTTATTAACTGTCCTTATTTTTAACCAGTTAATTGAATTGGTTCTGTTTTTCAGAATTAATCAGGTTTTATTGATTGTAACTTGTTATAGGTATACCCCAGTGGGCCGCTCTTTCTTCACTCCCTCAGAGGGATGCTCGAACCCCCTCGGTGGAGGCAGAGAGGTCTGGTTTGGTTTCCACCAGTCTGTCAGACCTTCCCTCTGGAAAATGATGCTCAACATCGATGGTGATTTTGATGTTGCTTCGTGTAATGTTGGCTGGAATGACATTGTTTCTGTGTGTCTTATCTCTGTGTGCCTTTTTTGTTTGCAGTTTCAGCCACTGCATTCTACAAAGCTCAACCTGTAATTGAGTTTATGTGTGAGGTCTTGGATTTCAAAAGCATTGAAGAACAACAGAAGCCCCTAACAGACTCTCAACGAGTGAAATTTACCAAGGAAATCAAAGGTAAATACAGATTAGACGTTGATTTGGTAATGGCCATTTGTTTGACAAACTGTTTATGCAGTTTTTTATTGTTTGTGAAATGTATATGTTTTATGGATGAGAATTATGATTAGATTTGAATCAATTCTTGATTTAACTTGATTGGTCAGTTAAAGTTCTAAAGATAAGCTTCTTAATTCCAACATCTCTTCCAAAATTTTACGCCTGAGAAAGTTTAATATTTGTCCTGCTTATTCTGCTGTAACTATGTTAGGAGATATAAGTCAAGCCTAGGGGTGTGACGAAACACTTAGCTGACAAGACGATACACGATATTGGGGCGCCGAGGACAAGCTGAGACCATATTTTAACACAATTTTTAAGAAATCTTCAAGGACAAAATATGATTGGAAAAAAGTCTTGCAGAGGGCTCTCTGCATCAACTGTGTGCTTGGCCACATTTTAAAATCACAAGATTTCGTGGCATGTGATCTCGTCACACCCCTAGTCAAGCCTTTTGTCACATAGACATCCATCATCAGCCTCTATTTGCTTTTAGTTTTTGGGTATGTTGGAAACTCTGTTATCCTTAATTGTGATTCCTCCACCTAGGTCTGAAGGTGGAGATCACTCACTGTGGGCAGATGAAGAGGAAGTACAGAGTGTGCAACGTGACCAGAAGACCAGCCAGCCACCAAACGTAGGAATGGTCCTCTATCTCTATGATCACAGTATTTAAATGTTGGGTTTATTGTTGCTGAAGTACTCACAGGACATAAATTAAGTTTTTTTTTTTTTCCTATAAAAACTGCTCCAGCAATAAGAAAAGCGTTGCCACATAAGATGTAAAATGCATATGTCGTGATGCATACTGGGGTAGGAAGGGATGTAATAACCGCAACAATAATGATAAATAGACTATTGTTTTAAAGTGTGACTTTTTGTTTCAGTTGACTTGGCTTGATGATGCTTGGTGATATTAAAGCTGTGACTAACTGGTGTGAGAATACTCCCACTGTGAAAAGCCTCCAGAGTGAAAATGTTTAACGGCCATACTGTTTTATTTATTTACACCCTTAGGTTCCCCCTGCAGCAGGAGAATGGCCAAACAATTGAATGCACAGTAGCACAGTACTTCAAAGACAAGTACAAACTCATTCTGCGATACCCCCACCTCCCATGTCTACAGGTGGGACAGGAGCAGAAGCACACCTACCTACCTCTAGAGGTAAGCAACATCAGCCTCTTGTGCTTATTTGCCTTTAGAAAAGGAACCCAGTGTACCATGGATTTTCTTCTAAACCTCTCTCGTTTTGTGTGCCTTCACTCCAGGTGTGTAACATAGTGGCAGGACAGCGCTGCATCAAAAAGCTAACAGACAATCAGACGTCCACTATGATCCGTGCCACAGCCCGATCAGCACCAGACCGCCAGGACGAGATTAGTAAATTGGTGAGTCATTGTAAGATAAATGTTTACTGCGTGCAGTATAGAAGTTGGCCTGAAAATGCTAAAACTCAAACCTTAAGGGCCTCGTGTTGCCAAAACATTGGTTTCCACAAATGTAAGAGTGTGAGTCCAGTGGTATATGCAGGGCTTTTAAAAATGGTCTTTAAAAGCATTGGTTTCAGTTTTCTAAAATGTAATTTAAAAAGGCCTTTAAAAGTGTTAAAATTATTAAAAATGTTAAATTGCATTAAGAAAGGTTTAGTATTTTTATATAGTCTGCCATAAAAATGAACATAAATGACTTTGTGTGGTATTTGCAAAAATTGGCTGACCGGATAATTTCCAAAACCATTGTTCCAGATGTAATGTAAAATCTTTTTATTGGGTAATTCTTTCATTTTTTTTTTCTGCTGCAAAAGAAAAACTTGAACTGAAGTTGTTGTTTTTAAGAAATGGACTGTTAAATGAACTCAAGGAGAAGTTTCTCTCCATGCTGCCAGGTTTTTAGTTTAAGCTTCTATTATTTAGCCAAAAGCACTCTCAAGGATTACACGGTGAAGTTATTACCCAAGAAAGCTGGCTGGAAAATTGGTATTGACCACTGCAGATCTCCTGTCAGGGAGCACAGAGTCAACAGAAGATGTTTAGCTGCTTTAATCACTAACAAAGTACTAGCACTACTGATCATAAAATCAGGTTACATACAGAGAAGGAAGCTTACATGGCCTCTGACTTCTGCACAGGCAGCCGCCATTATAATGAGTCAATCAAGAAATCAAAAGAATGCCAGCAACAGCACCAGAGGCAGAACTTGCGTAATACATTTAGGCCACTGGTGTAAAACAGTAACTCCATACATTTAGAGTCCAGAGAGTCTCTGAGAGAGGAAGAATTCACACCACACAGGCTCAGTGGTGTTTGCTAACTGGCTGCTGGTGTGGAGGTTCATGATGCTGGTCATAATGGGCTGGTACCTAGGGCTGCATGGTAAATTGTTTTGTGAGCATGATTTAGATCCCAGTGTGATCCTCAGTTCTCACCTGACAATGGGTCTGCTGTGTTTGCATTAGCAGGGAGATGTCTTGCATCAAACCAAGCACTCCCTTTTCCTTGCTAGGCTGCAAGGATAATAAACAGTACATAACTGTATATTGTGCTGTATATATGTGGAGTCACACTAATGCCATTACAGAAATGCATTGAGAACGAAAGGCTAATTGAAATAAGGGTTAGTAATACTCATTGATGCTGTTTTTAAACAAATAGATTTATGAGAAACTATAAGCATGTAGTGTACAAATATGTACATTGTTACATCTTCCTTATACTGTATATCATTATCAGAGAAAGTTAAAAAGCTTAACATAACTCTAAACCTAGTAATGTTTGCAGGCATGCACGTGATAGGTTGACATTCACTTTAAACACAACTGCTTTGTTCATGTTGTGTCAGATGAGAAGTGCCAACTTCAACACTGACCCTTACGTTCGTGAATTTGGAGTGATGGTGAGAGATGAGATGACGGAAGTGAATGGTCGCGTCCTACAAGCACCTTCTATTCTGTATGGAGGCAGGGTATGTTGCCACCACCTTGGGTATGTTGAGGGTGATGTACTGTTCCTGTATGCAGCTGCAGCACAGTTCATTTATTGGTATTAGGTTTTATGAAATGAATTCCATCTTGTGTATAATGACTAGCAAGGCTGATAAAGCTGCCGTCATGTCAATTTTCAGAACAAAGCAATAGCCACACCGATCCAGGGAGTATGGGACATGAGGAACAAGCAGTTCCACACTGGTATTGAGATCAAAGTGTGGGCAATTGCCTGCTTTGCACCACAGAGACAGTGCACTGAACTCCTGCTTAAGTAAGTGAGATACATGAAGTGTTTGTTCTCCAGCATGTTGCAAATGCATTTTATGTCGTCCTGTATATGCACCTGCCAAAGCAGTCAGCCTGTAACTAAGAGGCTGCTGGTGAAAAGTTGAGCATGGTGTAGGACTTGAAACATTGATTGGGTTTTGTCACTGAAATTACAAACTGGGTGAATGTTTTAGCTGCAGTTTCAAATGTTGTAGTGTGGAGTACAACATGAAGTCTTTTTTTAAGTTAACCTTTGGGGTTTTTTTTTTTTTTTTGCCTGTCTTTCCCGGGACATTATTTCACTTCACAGGAGTGTAAGAGCACATCTTGTGTATGAACAGCTGTACCAAGCATCTGCAGTGCACAAGACAGGCTTTATTTGCATGTTTATACTTAACAGTATGGCTAGTATGTTATGAGCTTTGTCATGTTGTATCCCAGCTATAGTACACATAAGACTGGCAGGCTCCATTTGATCTAGTTCTATATAAAGACGTTTCTCCTCTGTCACAGGGCATTCACAGATCAGCTGAGGAAGATCTCCAGGGATGCAGGGATGCCCATTCAGGGTCAGCCATGTTTTTGTAAATATGCCCAGGGAGCTGACAGTGTGGAGCCCATGTTCAGGCACCTTAAGTACACCTACCAAGGCCTCCAGCTGATTGTAGTCATCCTGCCAGGGAAGACACCTGTTTACGGTGAGGGGTCCATTCATACAGTTATCTACTTCTGTCATTCAGTAAGAAGCATGACGTTTCTTCTTCCTTCAACAATAAGAGGCATCCAGGATATTCATATTTAGAGCTGAAATGTTTCTATTAAGTAAAGTCCTGACTGCAATTACTCAAATGCAAAGTTTCAAATTGCAAAAGCTTCTGTTACTTATAGCTGCTGACGATGATTATTTTGCTGTAGTTTCAGATCACTTATTTATCTCAAGCATTTATCTATTTCTGGGGGATGAGATTAACTTTCTCTGCAAGAAAGGGCTTTAGCGCCAAATGGCGCCTTTGAATAAATGATAAAAGCATGACCGGGTGCAGATATGTTTGGACAGTTTGTTATTTAAACAGAAGATGAAGTCTAGTTGTTTAAACAGCATTTTCTGTGGTATGGTATTGCTTAACCCATAACCCTTCTTCAAATCAGTGAGGATTTGTGTTGAAATTGTGTTATATTTGAAGCTCTGGCAATTGGTCCAGTGTGTCTGAACATGCCTGCTGCTTCACTGAGCAAGCTTTACTGCTTCTGTTTTTGCTTTAAAAGCTGCATTCTCTCTGACTCTTCCATCTACTCTTCTGTTGGCTTTCCAGCTCACTCTGTCACTTAAATGTACATAACAAGCAAATTATAAGGTTTACCCTATTTAGAAAATGCATTAATAATACATTTTCAGGTTGCCATTTTGGTGAACCACACTACATGTCCAGTCCAATTCCAGTGTGCACTTGATTTGATGCATCATATCAGAAAGTTGGAAAAAAAAAAAAATCCTGTACTTGAGATTTGTTTATTTTGCTGACACCACCTTATTGTCCTTTTGTGTGTTATAGCTGAGGTGAAACGTGTTGGGGACACTGTGCTAGGCATGGCCACACAGTGTGTGCAGGTGAAGAATGTTCAAAAGACAACACCTCAGACTCTCTCCAACCTCTGTCTAAAGATCAACGTCAAACTGGGCGGTGTCAATAACATCCTCCTTCCACAGGGCAGGTTAGTGGAAATACCACCACAACCAGATCAAAATTCTGAAAGTAAAAAGATCCAAAGAGTTTAAGCCTATATGCCTTGTAACAGGAACATTTATCAGTTTTTGATTTTACATGTTCTCAACAATTGTTGGATTTTGTTTTTAATATCATCAGTGCATTTAATATATATGGTGCATTTTTGTTCCAGGCCAATGGTGTTCCAGCAGCCAGTGATTTTTCTTGGTGCAGATGTGACTCATCCACCAGCAGGAGATGGAAAAAAGCCTTCCATTGCTGCTGTAAGTTACACATCTACCCTTGGCAATATACGGTGTTTGAATGCATTCTTGTAGTACCAAAATCACTGGGTCACAACCCATTTCTCTGCAGCTTTTCAGCTCTCTGTTCAATCAACAATTTTATAAACTGGTGATGCAGTAGTGGATGTGTTTCTGTCAGCTTGGTTGTGGCAGTTGTCTTCTCCCAATAGTCCCAAGTCCATTAACATAGCTTTCATGAATACATTGAGTTACTTGTTTGGCTAGCCTTTAAATCTTACATTATAAGTCAGCCTTAAATTAGTACAAACTGATTTTTTTTTATTTTTTAAACTTTTTTTTTTTTCCTTCAGGTTGTTGGCAGTATGGATGCCCATCCCAGCAGATACTGTGCCACAGTTCGAGTGCAGCAGCACCGTCAGGACATCATCCAGGATCTGGCCACCATGGTCAGAGAGCTGCTCATCCAGTTCTACAAGTCCACTCGCTTCAAGCCCACAAGGATCATCTATTACCGCGATGGCATTTCTGAGGGCCAGTTCAACCAGGTGATATTCTGTAATGTTAATACTAATTTCAGTTTTTGTTTCTCCCAGTGGGGCGGCTGTGGCTCAGGAGGTAGAGCGGGTCATTTCCTAACCGGCGGATTAGCGGTTCGATTCCCAGCTTGTCCAGTCAACATGTCGAGGTGTCCTTGAGCAAGACACTGAACCCCCAGTTGCTCCCGGTGATGTCACCGATGTGTGAATGTATGAGTGTTTGGGAGTGTGAATGGGTGAATGGCCGAATAGTGTGAAAGCGCTTTGTGTGTGCTGTAAAGCATAGAAAGGCACTATACAAGCATAAGACCATTTACCAGTGTACATTTCAAATGTCTAATCTGATTGATTTCATTTTCTCCTCATCCCTGCAGCTTTTCACTTGTTAACCTTTAATACCTTTTGATTTGCCCAGGTTCTTCAGCATGAACTGCTGGCCATCCGTGAGGCCTGCATCAAACTAGAGAAGGACTACCAGCCTGGTATCACATTTGTTGTTGTTCAGAAGAGACACCACACGAGACTATTTTGTATGGACAGAAATGAGAGGGTTAGTATTGTGTCATTGGACCTTTTCTTGGTTCTTAGATGCTGTTACTTTCTAAAACAGTGGTAGAAAAAATGTTTGGCATGCACAGAGGGCAATGGGCTGCTACAGGTATTGGTGTACTCTCCTATGCAGTGTCCCTACATTAGAGATATTGGGCATACTAAGTAATTTGATATCAATACCATTCAAATCTCTAATTGATGGCACTAACACATTATTGTGGCCATTGTAGGTTGGGAAGAGTGGCAACATTCCTGCAGGCACCACAGTGGACACCAAAATTACTCATCCGTCAGAGTTTGACTTCTACCTTTGCAGTCATGCTGGTATTCAGGTAAGAACTGAATTAGAAGGTACTGTAACTAAATTTAACCATGTCAGGTGCCTGTGAAGCATTTTAGAAATAGGAATAAAAGTTATGGGTAGATTTAATGGATTTTCCCTATACATAAAAATGACTCAACTCAACTGGCAAATAACAAAATACTGACAATAGTCTAAGCAGTGTTTCCCCTCATGAACACACTTGTCATCCATTGTCACTCTTTGCAGGGTACCAGCAGGCCATCTCACTACCATGTTCTCTGGGATGACAACCACTTCTCTTCAGATGAACTACAGGTTCTCACCTACCAGCTATGCCACACCTATGTGCGCTGCACCCGCTCTGTTTCCATCCCAGCACCAGCCTACTATGCCCATTTGGTGGCTTTCCGTGCTCGCTATCACTTGGTGGACAAAGAACATGACAGGTAAGGGCTCTATGTCATTTGCTGTTTGCCACCATTTTGAACAGCTAAGTGAGTGTGTTCTGGCAAACCAGACCTTGTGATATGTTTATGAAAGCAGGCAGAGTGAACCCTTTTGCATGTGTGTAAATGTTTGCCATTTCAGTGCTGAGGGTAGTCACACATCAGGCCAGAGTAACGGGCGTGACCACCAGGCCTTGGCTAAGGCTGTTCAGATCCACCAGGACACCCTGCGCACCATGTACTTTGCCTGAGAGCACAGAACTCCAGTTTGGCGTGGGTGAGACCCTGCAGATGGGAACGGACTACGCTCGCTGTCTCACTGTTGGCTGTAGAAAGCATTACAGTGGTTTGACATTGTGATTCCCCCTACTTAACAAACCTGTCAGTTACCCATATTTCTACAATTGTACTTCAGCCCCTGATCCACCAAAACCAAGTCAGCTATTAGACTGTAAGATGCAAAAGAATCCCTATTTCATGGGGATTGAGCTGGGAAAGGTTTAATTTACATGTTATGCATTAGTGTATATTTGTATTTGTTGTAGGGGATTTGTGTCAAAGACAGAGGAAAAGGGAACGTTTGTACATTTGTAGAGGAAATCTTCCATTTCTAAATTAGTGGGCAGTAGCATTCTACATTGGGGGTAATAATGATTTCCAATAAGCCCTCCACCCTCCTAATCTTGTTTTTGTTCATTAGGGTCTTGGTGCTTGAAGGAAGAAGCAGACATGAAAAGATAATGGGTCCTGTTCAACATTTATATGCCTAAGGATACGGTCCTCTGACAACATTTATCAGCCAATCAAAGCAAAGTGCACTGACCAGAATGGGTACTTTAATCAGGACAAAAGTACTTAGTATACTGCGGGTTGTGTGTGATTTTCACATAGGGCACTATGTGATGAAAGGTGCCATTTGAGACCAACTCTGTGTCGTCATTTCTTTGTAAGACTATGAATTATTTGGCCCACATCTGCTGGGTTTTCAGTATTTGTCCTTGATTGACACTGTTGACTATTTAATGCCAAATCTGGTGGCAACTTACTAAAGGATTTTTTTTCCCATTGAATTTGTTATCAACCCTTGAACAAACCCTTAGTTTATTCCAGATAAGGGTTTTTAGTGTTGAGATTTTTTTATCCTCCTCTGCCTCACTTGTTAGTCTAAACTGAAAAGGTTGCACCAGTAACCTAGAAACCTACAGTCTGAGAAGCCAAGAAGCAGTGTATTGGGACTGGTTCCCAACAAGGACTCCTTTTAATGAACTCTGAGCCGTGCTGACAATAGATGCATAATGTAGAAATGCGATAACATAATTTTTTTGGGTTCCCTTCTGTTTTGTAGTGTAGTTTAATTTCCATAGTTTTTTTTTAATGCATATGCATATAACTGACTCTTGTTTGAGACAATTAGGCATTTGTGATCATTGTTCATTTCTTCCTTTAAACATTAACCCGACTTCTGTTTTTACTGTATATAGCATCAGGATAGTGTTTTCTGCAGTGTCCTTGTCAGAGCAAGTTATTTATGTGGCGTCTCTATCCAGGCATTCGGTACAGTGGAGAGAAAGCTACAGCATGTTAGAATCTAACTGATTGAAATTCCCTTAACAAACTCTTTGATTATAGTGTTTTGCTCCAGGAGTTGGGAGCAGTCGTCGCACAAAAGCTTGGGTTTTATGCAAATGAATTTTTGTGAGTCTTTATACTATACAGTAATGTTGGTAATATAGTATATTTTGAATAAGCTTTCAGTGTAGGTTGCTGAAATTTTTTTTTTAAAAGACTTGCCCACTTATGATCTAAATTAATGCTGTATTTGTATACAGGTTTTAAATGCAAATATTCTCTTGCCTTCTATGACTGTTACAGTCTTACTAATATTTCTGCTCTAATATCCCACTTAAGTTTCACTAAGAGAAGCTGGCGAATGTTCAAAGTCTGGATTGGAGGCAAGTAGTCTACATTTTTTTAACTATGCATCATTTTTAACCAAGAGATTTAGCAGCGGGGTATCACACATGAATTTGGGTCATTTATAGAGGTAGATAATCAGGGCCTTTTTGTTGTTGTTTTAGTATAGTGCATTTTAGTAGTGTTTCTTAGTGCTTATGAGTGTCTTCATGTCTTTCTAATGGGATGAAGTATTTATGCGGTCATTTGTAATGTTTTAGATTTTATAGCCTGGAAATTGGGGTGTGTCCTTTGTAACACAATTTTTTTTTTTTTTTTTTTTTTTTTTTTTTTTTTTTTTTTTTTTTTTTTTTTAGCCAAATAAGATTACAGTCTTTTACATGACTAATATTCAAAACACATGGAAGCACAAAAGGATGTCTTGGTTCTAGGTGCTAGAAGTTTTCACTGTAAACCACCTTAAATCCTCACTGGACTGGTCCGCAAGGCTTTTTACTTGTATGCTAAAAGATGTTTCATCATGTTGAGGATCTTTTCTCTCCCTTTGATGACCTCTCTGTGTTACCCTTTTAACCCATTACCTGTAAAGCAACTAGAAATCCGACTGACTGTGCTTGTGGGGCATTCTGAAAATCATGTACTTGATATTTACTGTTATGATGTCAATATTGTTCTTATCGGTGCTGGTCTCACAACATGTAAATTTGGATGCACTTTTGATAGCAGAACGTTGGTATGATTTCTATAGATGTGTTCTTCATTTAAAGCAGGAGGCTCGGCCATATTTTGCGACATTGGTGTAATTGTGTGGAAATGGCCGTGTGTTCTACCTCTTGTTACCTGTTCTAGTGTTATGGTAACATCACACTGCTGGCCATTTCTGTATAATTACCCCTGCTATCTATCTAATTGGCATTATTTGAGTCTTGCATTGACAATAGAGGTTTTAAACATTTGTTGTGCATGATGGTGAACACACATTCTCACTTTGTGATTCCTCATAGTTTTACTCAAGCTGAAAGAATGTTTGTTTTTTTTCTTTGCTTTGATTTCTAGGGGTTTTAAGCATTGAGCTGAATGACCAAATTCTTGAAATGTGTTTGTGTTGACACGTAGCTTTCCCTTCTTTCTTTCCTTTAATTCTATGCACCAATGAAATAACAAAAGTTTTTTGACATCTTGATTTTCCATTGAGCTCTTTAACAACAAATGCAAATCCCAAATCAGGTGTGATCTTCACATATTCTTGATCTGGAAAAGTTGTAAATGCACCCCACTGGTTCTGTTGCTCTGACTGTTAAAGTAGCCAAAAAAACAGGATCAGGCTGCAGAATTACTCATGTAATTTAGGATCAGAACGTTAATTTTAAACGGCATGTAAAGCCTGTCGTCAGCTCTCTCCTTGAAAAGTTGAATGCCCTCGTCATTGTACTAATGCAGACCTTTGTAATGCCGCTGCAAGTGTCCACAGTATTTTTCTCATTCAGATGTTCAGTTTTCACATCATCTCAAAGGGGGATGTCATTGTGTTTAGTTATTTAGCCGGATAGCTGATCTACAGAGATGTTGGTCATATTGTGTGAAAAGTTGAACGGAGAATCTTTGTCCACAGTATAACAGGTGTTCTAAAAAGTAACTCGCTAAATTTTAAAACAAACCTGTCATCTTAGGAGATGGGTTTTACTTGGTGTTACTGCTTTTATTTTATTTTATTTTTATTTATTTTTTTTTTTGTCGTCTTACATTACCTGTACCAGGTCCTTAAAATACCAGATCAGAATGGCATTGCTTTTCCTGGAGATAATACTCAAACATTAGACAGATACTATTTTTGCACTAAAAGAAATGGACTTTGTAACTGTTGCAGCATTCAAGTATTTATCGGGCAGCAGAATGGCAGACTCTTTTTGTCTTTTGTTTAAAGAGGAGCATTTGGCATGGCTGGTTTTTCACAATAATAGATGCACAGTGAACAGGCCTCTCCTAGCCAGCCAGCCTTCAGCATGTTGTCTTTCAGAAATCTCCAGATGCCTTTAAATGTTAATGAAAGACAAACTCTGAGTTGCGTGGGTGGCTTGCCTTTGTGCAGTGATGTGGTAGAAAGGTGCTTTATGCAAAATAAACTGACAAGTGTTAAGAGCCGATTAACTGTGGACAGTAAGGGTTTTGTAATCAAAATGACACCAAAGTGATGTGTGGGGAGAACGTGTGCAGGAAGTATTTCCATGGTCACAGTCCATGTTCAAGACTGCAAAGAATTTAGAGAAGTCATACTGAAAGGCCTCATTGTGACACCACCACAGACTATACATATCAAGATTCAGAAGAGGCTTGTCCTTTTTACACAGTCTGCTTGGTCATAATGAGCTAAACCAAGACTGTGCATGAAACGAATAAATACACCAGCCTGGATGAATGAGGCACTACGTCAAATGTTTAAGTGGTGCCCAAGGTGCATAGCAAGACACTCAAAATACTGCAGGAACCCCAATAGCTTAATATTTTTTCTCAGAAATGACAAACACACACGTTCACCTCAGTTTGGCTATTTTTCTGTTTGCCAAAGCCTGGACGAAGCAACTTCTATAACCGGCTGGTTTGTAAATTAAAAGGCATATAATAAGCTAATTTAATTTTATTTTCATAATAAGTTTTCTGCGTTTGTTGGCATGTATAAATTTAGGATTGGAAGAGGCTGACATAAAATTCCTCCTAGCTTAACAGCCAGCCTGTTTATTTAACAGGTTTTTAAAAGGTCTTGGAATAAAAATAAATAAATAAAAGCCTGACTCTAAATGAAGCAACAGCCCATGTATTATTCCAAACCATTACCCTCTGTATAGTAGTATCTCTCCTTTTTACCTTTCATCCATCTCTTGTAGAGAAACAATTGCTGACATAAAGAAACCTCTTGTAGAGTAGAACTTATTTTCCTAGCTTCAAATAATCACAATGAATGTACTTAGTGTGTGTGTGGTTTGTAGTATTATCCAGTACATTTATACTAAATTTTGCTTTTTGTGTACAGCTTTTTTTTATTTTTGGTGTTTTCCCTTTATTTATAAGCTTTAACTGTTGCAGAAAGTATTATATTTTATTCTGTTATAACATTTCATTGGCATAGTTTGCCCACATCACAGCCAATGTCAGTCTTTATATAAATGAGACATGAACAAGTTAAAAGGTGATATGTGTTTCTTTGATATTGGGTGCTGAGCCAACACTAACTCAGCACAAACGTTTGCCACATATCATCTTCCACAATTTTTGTGCTATAAACATTATTTAAACATCAAACTGTGCAGCTCATTGAGGATCAGGGTGCTATTTCTAGCATATTTTTGCAGTTTTTGTATTAATTTTAAAGAATCTAACTTTACAATTGACGTTTTTGGAATGATCTGACTCCTATTTAACATTCAAAAGCTGCTCTCCAATACATGCAGCTACAAACACCATTTAAACTCTAAAATGCATACAGTTCTTTAAACTGCCATAGTTGTTCTGTGCTGTAATATTGCTTATTGTTTGAGAATTCAAAGTCGACTGAGGTTTTCAGACTTTATCACTGTGTGATGTGGCAAGCTAGAGGTTGAGAAAAATGTTTTTAAACTGCTCTTACTCCTTAAACTTTTGCTCTACAAGCACACAACTTTAAATGTTGCCACGCACCTCTCTTCTCTCAACATGAGAACATATAATCCACAGGAGTTGTAGTTTTTATGAGATGAAATTTATTGATGTCCTGTCGTCTTCTCCATTCTCTGCAATGTTTGTGATCTTGTCAGATTGTGTCTGCCCATCATTTTAACCTGCTCTCATGGTGTCAGTTTTCCTAATATGTAGTATTTAGATGCACGTTGGCTTGCTTGCCAAGTTGTTATGATTCTAACAGTGAAAGTATTTCAGCTTTTTGAAATTAAAGTGCATTGTCGTGACACATTCACACTTTATATTTGACAGACAATCTGGCAGCTGGAGTTTCAACCAAGCAGCTTCTTAGGGTAGCAGTGAACATGACTGGTAGTTACCAGTTTAACATACTTTTTTTTTTGTCTGTGTGTGCGTGCGTGTGTGTGTGTGTGTGTGAGAGATAATCACTTTGGTCACTTATGCGTTTTAGAAACATCAGAATGTTGGAAGCTCATCATTTCAACATTGGCAGACATTGAGTTGAATTTCAGGGTGAATCTGTGTGAGGGGAAACGTTCAGCAGAGGCTCTCCTAAGCTAATACCTGAGGAACCATAAGGCACAGACACAGATGTCACAAATCAGCACCGGTGGCTCCTATCACTTATCCATTTCCTTCAGGAAATGCAGAGTAGACTAGTTGCTACTTTAGGTTCAGGAGACAAACATTTAGCACTGGTGCAAATAAATTTTTATTTATTTATTTATTTTGTTCTGGCATCATCCTTGTGTGAGATGCTATAACACAAGTGCTGCGTGTGTAGTTCATGATGGTTGCTTTGGTATGGCCTTGTTTACCTTTTTTATTTTTTTTTATACTTAAGTTCATGAATGGACAAAATTTGTTGACACAAAACTGATTCAAATGCACCCCCCCCACCCCCACCCCCAAACACACACACACACACACACACGCAAGTCTAGAGTTGGATTGATGTAGACGTTGCATCAGGAGAGCTTAGCTAAGATATCACAACCTGCTGCAGGGGTAAGATAACGGAAAAAAATGTTCTGCACAATGGAAGCTTACATTATGTACTTATAACATGTAGCCAACGTTTCAACCCACCGGTCTTCTTCAGCTTCAGGGGTAGGACACTCAGGCGAGGCTGTAGAACGGACACCGCTCCACTTGTCTTTGGTAACATTAGCCTGCATGCCTCACTTGGAGAGTGAGATTGCAGAAGGGTCCTCAGTTGTGTTGTGGTACTTGAGGCAAACAGTTTAACTTGGCAGTGCTCCGGTGTCGTCATTGATCAGCACAACTTTGCTTACTACTGTCCTGCATTTTGTCCTTGCGAACATAATGTTTGTAGCTTATTTTCCTGAGAAGTCAACAGGACTGTAACTGGTCAAGCTGATAGTGAATTTTGGATTGGTACATTGTTGGATTCGAACAGGTCATAACAGTTTGAATTGCTATTATTTTACCACATTCAAATTTTGGAAATTCAAATAAAGAGTGGTAGCCCTAGTATACTGTCCCTGTTTCTATATCTAGATATACCTTAATGAAGGTTTGTCCTTGATATCAATATCATGCCAATGTCCAAACCAGTTGCATGCAGTCATGTGACACAAGTGTTGTCCACAAGGTTTTTATAAACATATAAAGTTTGCCTGTATGCTTCATTCTATAACTACAAGTCCACAATTTCAAATGGGGTTTTGGCAGTCCTGAGGAAACAAACATGACCTGAAATATCTTTGCTTGCACTTGGATTGGCACAGAATTTTATGCAAACATTCATGATTTCCAGCCAGTGAATCGTAATGATGTGGGTGATCCCCTGATATATAATGTGGAGTCAGGTCAAAAATTTAAGTTTGATCAAATGCCTGCAAAAGTAATGGCATTCCCATCAGCCTCAGCTGTACTTTGTGTTTAGTGTTAGACAGCTAATGCTAACATGCTAAACTAAGGTGGTGACCATGGTAAATATACCTGCTAAAACGTCACCATATCTGTGTTGCCATTGTAAGCCCATTAACGTTAACATTTAGCTGAAAACACAGTAGGGGGCGGGGGGCCGTTCAGAGCAGTGTCAGGTGCTGGCTAATATTAGCCCCAGTTCATAACAGTGGTAACAAAATCTAATATTGTAGTGACCAAACCAATATCAGAGCACTGGTCTTTCCTTGAACCTTAATGTTTGGAAAACCAAGTAATCATTGGTTGGTTGCTTTAGTTGGTTGCATTTAGGGGACCAAATTTTTGTAATTGGGCATCTCATTGCTTTCATGCAAGTTCTTTATTTAGCAAAAGACTGATTTAAAAACAGCCTAGCACAATCTGACTCATTTATGTAGTAATAAAAACTGTAATTCTGAATAGATCATATATTAACAGTTGTAATTGCTATTTGATATGACAGTGTGTCAATATTCAGGCTATATTGTAGTGATATTGAGGAATGTATTTAGTGATGGTGCAGTTGTGTTGGAAAGATGTACAGCAATAATGTCGGAGTGTGCACCGTGGATCGTTGGTAGCTATTTGTTCATCTTTACACCAGTCCTGTACATTTTTACACAACTTTGAATAAACATTTTAGACTTTTAATTAGCAGGACAGTAGATAAACTGATAGAACCAGTTGTATTTTTAACAGAATGTTGAAATATTAGTTTCTTTCTGGATAGAGCCTATCCATGTCATCACATGCCTACGTTTCTCTGACATGTTAACCCAGTACTGCAATAAAGCCAGGGTGGATGGCCATGTCTCTTACTCGGCTTATGTCTAGTTTCCAATGATTAGCCAGATTCACTGCCATTTTTGTTTTAGATGTTGTTTTGCATGCGACAGTTTACAAAGGGAATATAACTCTTGGCTTTACAATGTATCAAATCACTGAAAGGTACATATGAGGTTGTGGCAATTAACAGATGGTCATTTAGTCTGAAAACATGCAGTGCGTTTGTATTTTGTGTGCCTTTTGTCAGATTTCTCTCTCCTCCATCAGCCGCAGCACTGGGTTTGTGAGTCTTTTTCAGTATAAAGATTTGACAAAAATCTGCCGCGCCACATAAAAGTAATCTCTCTTTTTAATTATCATGCAACCTTGCGTATAGATGCTGCATAGAGCGATCAGTATTTGTGTTTTGCACTTTCAAAGCAGTCTCAAAAAGAATTGCCCACGTAAGGTCGGGCAGAAAGTAAAAAGAAAAACTGAAAAGGTAATAGGAATTATAAGGAAGAAGATGATTTTAAAGAGCTTTTCTAAAAAGGTGGATATATCTATATATAGTCATGAAGTACCTCATAAGCCTGATATATGCTGCATTGACTTGTTTGTTTTCTTTGGTGTACTTCATATTGTCCAAGAAAATTTTGATTTTCCCCCTTTTGGGAGGTTTGATTGTCACCACAGGCTGTGCACTAACAAAAGAGCATGTTACACCTTGTGGCCAAATGATGTCATTTATGCAATTTATACGCAAATCTAATCTCATTGGACTATTTCTCAGCTGTAACCATGTTATATTTTCTCTTTGTGTGTGTGTGTGTGTGTGTGTGTGTGTGTGTGTGTGTGTGTACCCCAAAAATATTGGGCTTAGCTGACAAAAAAAGTTGACGTGTACCCAAGTGTCACGTGAGGCTCTGTGATATAACATGACTGTTGACTCAGGTATTTCAGTGAAAGGGCTGTATCTGCTTAGGGTGTCCCTGTCCGAAGCTTCCCCCACACCTTTGTCTTAAAGTAGATCTACATGTGAGATTCCTATTTGGCCTTAAAAGTTGAACAAATTATGCACTACAGTTTCACAGACTTGACACAGTACTAGATACCAGTTCAGACATATTTGTTAAGATTTTGTGCTGCGTCTTTGCCATGTTATCTACCTCCTGTGAATGTATGGGCTGTCCTGGAGTTGTAGTCGACTGCAAAATTTATGGAAAGCCGACAATCATCTGTAGATTGAGAAGTATAAGATATTCCCTTATTCATTCTTACATAGGTTCCATGATGCCCCATTCCCCCCTGTTGGCCCTTTTCAGTTGATACCTTTTTCATTGTAAGCTATATTGGAGAAGCAAGGTGACCAAAGTCTTGGCAAAGGCAGCCCTGCACAGCCATGTGAACTCAAACCTCCCTTCATTTCTGTTATTTTGAGCTCAGTTTTGAGTTATTTTTCTCTCTCTTTCTCTCTCTCTCCTCCCTTATTTAAACCACGACATGCCAAAACTGACTTTCCTGTCATTCCTGTTCTGGTGAGGGTCGTTACGTTGCTGAATTAATTTGTTCACATTAACTCTAAGCTCTTTGTTCATGTTTGTAAAGTTGTAAGCTTTTGATTTCTATTTTACATTTCCTATTTTTTCTTTTTTTTTTTACAATTACACTTATAAGAACACAAGGTATGCTGTAAGCCCTGTTAGGACATAATGTGAATACATCTCACTTAATATAGTTCACTCTTTTGGCTTGACTGTAAGTTGCGTTAATTAATAAAAAATATTTAAAATGTTCACCTGTTGTGACTCTTGTCTTTAATTTAGTTATATATATGAAATAAATTATTTAAAAATCTAACAATGTGATTTACTGGAATTTTTTTGTAGATTCTGTCTCTCACAGTTGAGGTGTACCTACGATGAAAATTACAGAACTGTCCATTTTCTGTAAGTGGGAAAATGGGAAAACTTGAAAAATCGGCAGTGTATCAAATACTTATTTGCCCCACTGTATGTATGTGTATATATATATATATATATCTGTTCTATTTAAACATGCGTTGTCATGGCAGGAACTTTCCTCAGGAAATAGGACCATTTGGTGGTGCACAGTTCCCCTACCCGTGTTTCTAAGGGTCTAAATTAAATTATCCTGGGAAGATAGTTTTACCTCCCACACACCCTTTCTCAATAGGCTCAGGAGGTAGAGTGGGTCGTTTCCTAACCGGAGGATTAGCAATTCGATTCCCAGCTTGTCCAGTCAAAATGTCAGTGTCCTTGAGCAAGACACTGAACCCCCAGTTGCTCCTGATGATAACACCGATGTGTGAGCATTTGTGACTGCGAATGGGTGAATGGCCAAGAAGTGTACGTAAAAGCGCTTTGAGTGTGCTGCAATGCAAAGAAAAGTCCTATACAAGTATAAGACCATGTACCATAGTTAAAGGTGTTGTACTGGACTACATTATATTCAGAGGTGTTCCTAATATTCTGACCCTCTCATGTATGTAGCTGGGGAGGACAAAAAGATAGGCACCTCTAAATATAATGTAGTCCAGTACAACACCACCTTTAATTCTGACCTCAATAATAAACATATAATTGAATTTATACATTAATGAAAATTTCACCAAAAACTGAAACATACTGAGCTTCATAAATTATGTTAAGGCACAAGTGTTGCACTGAAGTGCAAGGTGTACCATATATAGTGGCCGCTGACTGTACAAGCATGTTATGTGTGTGGATGGTTATTGCTGAAGAATTGCCCTGAAAATGCTGAAATGGCTGAAATCCATAGCTTGGTGGTTAATGCCACTGACTTTGGTACGACTTCATCATGCCTTTTTCTGTGTTGTGATCTGCCGCTATATAGAAAATAAAATTAACTTCACCTTCAAGGGGGGGCAGGACACTAATATTGCCCTAATATTGCTGCAAATAAGATACAAAACACGGACACAGTGACATTCATATATTCTCCCAGAGCCTCCAATCCTACTGGGAGTGCTGGTGGTAAGGCCCTTTATGTACACCAGAGGCCCTCAGCTCCATCACTGGATGGACATGGTCAACACTCCACAGGAGCCAGTGAAGCTGTGGCACGGATTGGGCAGATACATTTAAGTAACCAAACATGAACTGATCCACAAACACACATGTGCATGTACATACACACAGATTCAGAAATAGAATAAAAGTGCTAATAAATGTGTTCATCGTTTGTAAAACGCCTTGAGGCAATTTCCATCTCCTAATAAAAGCATGTCTAGAAAGGTGTGTTTGTAATTGCATGTGATTTTTACTTTCATTCTAAATAGAGTAATTGGATGTATTAATGTTATGGCATTCTCATAATACAGACAATACATCTGTGGGCAGAATGGTCTCCATCATGTGATTCAGTATCAAGCTGTTATAATATATTAATGGGACGTACAAGAGTTGAATTTAGTTTATTGTTATAATCGGTCCTAATGGTGTTTGTGTCTGGTTTGGCACCATGAAGATAAACAAGAACACTATTGGAGGGACAAAAAGTTGTGTTGATTTCTTATAATGCAAAGCACGTGCACAGATAACGTTAATATTAATACCTGATCAGTCGTGTTACACACGCAAAGTTTGTCAGTTTTCTTTTATTTTCCACTGCTGATATCTTTAGTGATGAGTGTTTGAATGTCATTTCTTTACTATTGTTAGATTTTACCCAAGTTCTTTTATTGAAACCGCGAGAAGTGCCTCTCCGCAGCTGAGCCCTAGGTTCCCGAACCTGCCAGCGAGGGCCTGTACCGGACCAGGGCCACACTCACACTGGAGGTCGGGAACCCGGGGGGTCGCCCCTCGCATAGGCTCCCGAACCCGCATACCTCTACTGACCTTGGCCATCTCCTGGTCTCTGGTGCCACCCTAAAGCTGGTTTATATTTGTCTGAAATCTTTGTGAACATTCCTGAGAACTAGTGAATGAATTGGTTTGAATAAGCTATGGGAATTCAAGGCCCAAATGACTTGATCTTCTCATCTTTGATCTAGTGTAATCAAGAAATTACATCTTTCCTACATTTATTTTTGTTTGTTTTCTGACCATAAACATGCAAATCTAATGACAATATCATCAGCCTCTACTGTACCTTGTGTTTTGTTCAAATAAAAAGAAAGTGCACAGATGTTAGCTTAGGCTAACACTGTGTCTAATGTGGGTGCAGATGTTTAATCTTTTTGGTGCATGATGCTTTGATGCTTGTTTTACTGCACTGCAGTTTGTATGTTTCACCTTCAGTCTCTTTGTCTCCTCAGCTCGGTCTCTGTTTTTCTTTTGTCTCTTCCTCAGACATCCATCTCTGGCAACACTACCTGAGCCTCAACATCTGCCCTGCATGTGCCTGCTTGTCTTCAGACTAGACCTGAGCCTCATCGCCAGACAAGGTGTTGCAGAGAATAAGAGGTTTGTTTGGAGGAGAACAGTATATGTACACTGTTCAGCTGTCAAAGACCACATTTATGCCTAGAACTAATTTCATATTTCAAATTTACAGGATGTTAACAGTGCAGACAGCAATAGATTGATGTGGTTAATATTAAAAACATATTAAGTCTATAAATGTTCACATATGCATATGGAGAAACATTTTGTCTGTAATAAACAAGGATGCTCAGCACACATTTTGATGCCAACAATTTGTAAGAGTATTCGAAGCGCAGAATGTAAACCTGCAGCCTTTTGCAGTGAAACATTACCCAGGAAATATGCAGGGTGTTGGCAGAATCAAAATGCTAATGCTAAATGCCATAAGTGTCAAATAATGCTTTGATTGATAGAATGTGCCTGATTGTGAACAGTATGAGTCTGATTGCAGGGGTAAACAATCACCAGATCCCCCACTAGCAATTTCAGCTAGTCTGCCCCAATGTGTAACTGTGAATAGTCTGTAATGGTGATCTGTTTCATTTCATAAGTGATAGTAAACTCAGTCATGCTTCATTTCCAGTGGTTTTGGCTGAAGCTGACGATCAATGATGATGTTCTACAAAAAGCCGGCAGGGACATCTGACCTATTTAATTATGCCCTGATGTCATGAGTTATTTAATGAATATATCACTGTAGTTCACACGGTGGACAAAGACCACTCAGTCATGTTGTAAAAATGGTTCACCAAACCAGGACATTATTGGTTGGACGGTTACAGGAAGCATGAACAGAAAAAATTAACAGAAAAAGAAAGCACTAGCACTAAAAAATGTATTGAAAGGTTTTTGTTATTTTTTTTAATTTGTTTTTGCAGTTTCACTTTTCTGTCAGTGTTTAAGCACAAACTAGATGGCTCTGAGGGCAGGGCAAAGGAGAATTATTTGCATAATTTGGAGAGCTCCATGAGGAGAGGACAGCCCTCTTCCTGAGTTGCTGGTCCCTATAAAGGTTCTGACTTCCGAACACAACAGCACAGTTACAGCAGCAGCTTCCCCACATTCACCTGGAACTCTATAACGGTTGTCTTTCTTTTTATTGGTAACTTACAGAACTGAGCCCCAGCCAGTACGAAGGTTGAAGAGCCACTGAGCACAGCGTGATGTGAAATTCATTTATTGAACTAGAGAAATGCATTTCCTGTCATAAATGCTTGTGGATGCTGATAAGCTGAAAGATCATCCTGAGAATGCCTGAAATCAATCGCTGAAACAGCTGAAGGATGAGAAGAAATGGCTGAAGTTCTTTGTTGAAATAGTTGAGAAGAAATGGCTGAAGTTCTTTGTTGAATAATCTGAAGGATGAGATGCAATAAAGTAGGAAGAGCTGAACATTTTGATACCTGAATGGTTTTTCTAGCTGAAGATACACTATGCTGAACTTATTAATAAAATGCTGAACATTTTGACACCTGAAAGGCATATCTACCTTAAAGTATGCTGAAGTACATTTTTTCCATGAATTAGAATGGGGGCAAATTTTCAAAATAAAGCTAAATATTTCAGAAGTGTGAAGTGTATAAAAATTCTGAGTCGAAGCATGAATGTCCTGGGAGACTTGAACATTTTGATACCTGAAATACCTGAAAGTATGCTTAAATAGAATTTCCCCATTCATTTGAAAGGGACAAACTTTTCAGAATAAAACAAAATATTTCAAAAGTGTGATGTTTTGAAAAATTGTTAATAGAAGCATGAATGTCCTTGAAGAGCTGAACATTTTGATACCCAAAATAGGTGAAGGTATGCTGAAGAATTTTCCCATTCATTTGAATCAGGGAAAACTTTCAAAATAAAGAGAGGGGGACAGAGAAAGAGACAGAGAGAGGAGTTATGTATGGGTATGTCCCAATTGCACTGCATTTTATAAACCACCAGATGGCACTCCAAGACTGTGTCATTGACTCAGCACTTTGAGCTCCCATTGACTTGTATTGCAAAATATAAAGCTGAATAGATTAAAAAGTATAAATGTTATAAAAAAGTTGAGTACAAGTAGGGATGAGGATGAGTTGAACAGATCAAAACCTCAATGGCATGTATAGCTGAAAGTATGCTGGACTTATAAAGTGCCAAAAAAGGGTGGAAGATCCCAGAATAATAATAATAATAAATAAAGAACAGGAGAGCATAGTGTGGATGCTTTACAGCATCCACCCAATAAACAAGCCCATTGAATTCTAATTATCCACAAATGCAAGGACTTTGCTCTCTATTCTCAAATAGTACAGTAGTTAAATCAGGAAAAATCTGGCCAAAGAATAACTTTAAAAAAAAAAAAGACTGAACCTCACCAACCACTGGTTGCCAATTTGGGTACTTCACAGTAGCTGATGCTTGGTTCTAGAGAAACGTTGGAGGCTGCACCAAAAAAGAAGACAGCTGTGTCGATACCCAGCCTTATGTCAGAATATGCCAATTATTAATTTTGTAAGACATGCAGTAAAATAATATACACACACAGGTGTATGAAACAAATTTTGTGTGTTGTAATAAACTTCATAACATCATAACTTTGCTGATAAAAATGTAAAAACAAATCTGTAGACATGAAGTTGATGTGAAACATCAAGGCAGTTTTTAAAAATGTGGCACAGACTGACCCCAGGATTTTGAAATGTTAACTATATTGCAGAGAATATGTCTAGTAGGTCATTTATTCTTAATGGTCTGACCTTAATAGCATTTTTAAAAATATTTTTCTTTTTTTGACAAAGACTAACAAAGCATTGAGACATACAATAATACTAGAAGTTTGCTCTTTCACTTTGCTGAGTTTATGACATCCACATTTATAATGTTAAATTATAGTTGTATTACAGTCTGTAGTTGAAGGGCCAATCCTATTTCATGACAAGCCTACAGCATTTAAAAACAATACATATTGCACATTACACATGAATTTTATTGTACAGGGAAATGCGGTTCCTCGCTGTACATATGACAAACACTTGACACAAAGTGTACATTCCTCAATGAGCCACATTGCACATACTATATATGAACATACATGGATCTCATAAGGAATGTGTGATATGTATTGTTTATAAATGGTGAAGGCTCATGGTAAATAATGTAATTTCTATTAATGTGAATTAAAAAAAAATCTACCTCTACTTAACTATTGTGAATTTTAAACTTTACTTAGGGTGATTAGGGCTTTGGCATGTGTCAACACCTAAGAACTGTAAAGGGAATGTGGGTTAATGTCAAATTCACATATATAAAACAGTAAAAACAAACTGGCTTCTGTAAACAGTAAAAATGATGGGCAATGACATTGTAATGATCAAACAGACAGGCTGACAACAGCAATTAAAACAGAAAACGAATGCATGTGACAAAACACTACACTCTACAAATCATCAAATTGATGAAAAACTAGTGTAAAAAAAGCAAAACTACACAAAATTAACAGACACAGATGTTGTTTGAACCTGAAAAAGATGTAAAGTTTGTGACCAAACATGCCTTTTAACCTCTATTTCTGCTCAGTTGATCATGTGGAGTACATTTATAGCAGAGCTAAGAGTCAGCTACTCAAGAACACTAAAGGACTTAATTGTACTGAAGAGATTTTAAAAAATAAACAGCTACACAAGTCGCTTATGGCAATGACACTGGCAGGTTTCTTGGACAATGACTCCTCAAAGGTCTTCTAATCCACTGTCTCTCACTGTCTTCACTTTGGAGCTCAGGTGGGGATCATAAATCCTGGGTATCCATGAAGGAAGAGACAACATTTGAAATCAATTTGAAATTACTACAAAATAAGATGTGTAACTATAGCAATAAATTAATGCAAAAATACGGTCAAAGTATGTGACCAGATTTTTTTTTTCTTTCATTCTCACTGGAATTCCACATTGAATAGAAAGATCTTTCATAAAAAGTTAGAAAATAAATAAACGCTCTTTCCCTTGAAGTTTTGAGTAGAAAAAACATTGCACAGTGTGCAGGCCGAGGACGAGAGTTAGCAACACTTGGAGTATCTGTTTTAATTATTTGTTATTTTTCAGAAGAATGTTTGCCCTCTTCTTCTTTGGCCTTCGTGGTCAGACATGGACGTGCTGGTGGGCAAGGGTGACCCACTTGTGGTGGACACTGGTAGCACTGCTGCTGATCCTCAGTACACCCAATTTACTGGGACCCACTGGGGTTCACTGCACAGTTTATCCACAGCAGCGTGTAACGTCTCAAATGCCTTGTCCAGGTTGTCGTTGATGATGGTCAGGTCAAAGTAGTGGCTATAAGCCCTCTGGATACGGGCGCTCTCCTCCACCGTCTTTCTCAGGTCCACATCCTGCCAACATATAATAGACAGGTGAGGTGTGGAAACATACAAGCTGTGCACCAGAGATTTCCTACAAATGTCAGTATTACTGCACAAAGGAATGAAGAAGTGGCAGAAAGGTTCTGGGTTCGCGACCCGGTGCCATTCTGTGCAGAGTTTGCATGTTCTCCCTGTGCCTGCATGGGTTTTCTCCAGGTACTCCGGCTTTCTCCCAAAGACAAGACGTGTGGTTGGTTGTCTACATGTCAGCCTTGTCTGGCAAATTGTCCAGAGTGTATCTCGTCCAATGTCCAAACAACTTTTGAAGACATTTATGCTACATTCAGACAACATGCTAAAGTGACTCAAATCCATTTTTTCCCTCCAAATGACATATGATCTTTTCAGATGTGTGAACAACCAAATCTGATGTTTGCAGACAGGATCTGGACCACTTGCATATGTGCTCCTAGATCTGATTCCTATCCAATGACCATGTGACCCCTGTCAGAACAGTCAGATCAGAATTCATGTGGTTTTTTTCAGTGTCCCTCTCCTCTGCGCATATCACCTTTTGCGATCAATCAGTATCACCACTTCACAGACCAGTAAACATTTGGGAGAGCATCAACAGTGACAGTCTGGGGAGAAATGAGGTCATTTCACTTTTGTTGGACATTTAGCCTATTTCACTTGAATATTTAAAATATTCAGCCTATGCCGCTTTATACTTGTACTCCACTGTGAACTGAATATGGATGTATGAATGTAAATTCAGGTGCTTTACATATTTTTTCACAAGTATGTTTGTGGGTGTTCACCTACCGTGAGTTGCTTAGTTGTGATGCCTGCGTCCACCACAGCTTTGTGCATGGCCTTGAGTGTATCAAAATCTGGCGCTGCAATGAACACCACATAAGGCATGAACTCTGCTGTTTTCAGTACCTTCAGAGCCTACAGAGAGACACAAGAGGTGACATTACAGCCAAGACAAAAAAAGGAATAACACTTCTGTAATACAAAGGAGTTGTCACTTTAAAACATTTGTCAATCCCAAGACAGTTTCTCCTGCTTTATTATGCTTCCTCGTCCACGACAGCCGTGACCAGAGACATGTTTTCAGGTTGTCCGTATGATTCTTGTGACTATTCTTGTGAACGTGATATGTCAGGAACACCTTGAGGGAATTTATTTCAATTTTGTGCAAATGTCCACTTGGACTCAAGGATGAACTGATTAGATTTTGGTGGTCAAAGGTCAAGGTCAGTGGCCTCACTTCTGTGCCATACCCTTGAATTTGATTGGCTGGCAGAGGTGTACAACTGCAAGTGGTACTTCTAGTTAATTTAAATGTCCTCTCTTTTTATCCAGACACTTGTTCTCTTGACATTGAAATATGTGTTAAATGCACCATCAACAACATTTCACCCAGTCTTCACTTACCTGTGGGTTGACATCCAGGATGCAGGTGCGTCCTGTGGCCACCACTTCATGGATGGACTCAATCTTGGTGCCATACAGGTTACCGTCATACTCGCCATGCTCCAGGAACTGGCCAGCCTTCACGTCGTTCTCCATTTCGGTCCTACTGGTGAAGTGGTAGGAGTTGCCATCCAGCTCGTGATCACGGGCTCGTCGTGAAGTGTCTTAACAGAGAAAATTCTGTTAAATGGTTAACTGGTCATTTGTAAACATTCAGTGTTACAGAATCTAGAAACTTTAAAAACAGAACATCTCATACATGGTATAGTGGTGCCGAAATGGGTGGGGTGGAGAACCATTAGTCGGTTCTTCAGGCTGCGTCGGCCTACGCCCTGTGCACCAATCAGAACCAGTGTCTTTCTCTGGAATGGTGGCACTTTTGCCACTTCCTCATAGATCTGCAGCTCATGCCTGTCAAACTCTGTTTAAACACATGCACAATTGCACTGTTACAGCCAGTCAAAGAAACAGACTATGATGTCAGCTGAGGGTTGCGTGTGACACTCCTCTGACCTGCATTCTTGGCAGTCAGGTACATCATCTTTTTCTTCTTTTTTCCAGCTATGGTGCCACAAAGGATCCCTACAAAACAAGACTGAACATTTGGGGGCGGCTGTGGCTCAGGAGGTAGAGCGGGTCCTTTCCTAACCGGCGGATTAGCGGTTCGATTCCCGGCTTGTCCAGTCAACATGTCGAGGTGTCCTTGAGCAAGTCACTGAACCCCCAGTTGCTCCCATTGATGTCACCAGTGTGTGAATGTGTGAGTGTTTGGGAGTGTGAATGGCCAAATAATGTGAAAGCGTTTTGAGTGTGCTGTAAAAGCATAGAAAGGCGCTATACAAGTATAAGACCATTTATGCAATGGTACATTTTTGCAATTACAGAATTTGACCAGAAGGGGGCAGGAGTGGGCCATTATTATACCCGGGTCTTCTGGCCATAAGGTTTTAAAAGCAGTAGAGAAGTGACAGAGGTTTGGCAGCAAACTAGCTGACAGACTTTAAATTAATTCAGAGAAACTGGAAATTATTCAGTGTTTTAGTGCTAACCAAGGTACCACCCACAATGTTTATACACACTAATGCCAAGATATGTATGCAGTGACCTACCTGATCCATCAAAGTCTCGAGGGACAAACGCTTTCCTCTTCTCCTCCAAGAACTGACTAGGAATCAGTCCTGTAGCCCCACCGACCACATGACATGCCTGGCACACATCACAAATCAGTTCATATACAAGTCTTAAAATTTATTCTTCATGTAATATTCAATGACAGACACATAAGGGAGGCAACTGAAAGAAAGCTCACCTGCCACCAGTTAAGATCCTCTCTGTTGACAATCTGAAGGATGTCACCTTTCTTGAAGGCCATCCCCGCCTCTCGACAAGGGATCAGGTTGTCATTGGCTGGGTTGTAGTCAAAGTATGGCCGCACATACACCTGTGACCATTACATGTACTGCATTTAGTCTATAGAAGTTCATTTATACCTATTTGGTTTTTTTGTTATAGAAAGGAGTCTGGTACACTTGAAATAAATAAATACACACCTACACAAACTATACAAACAAAGACTCAAGCTCTAGAAAGGAGTCTGGTACACTTGAAATAAATAAATACACACCTACACAAACTATAAAAACAAAGACTCAAGCTCTAGTACACTGATATGGTAACAGCAGTTCATTCACACCCATCACATCTCACGTCCCACACTGCACACGACACAGTTGTTCATGCTTTGCCAACAGTGGAGGCTTTTGCCAGGACTGGTAAGTGCTCCGGCTGATGTATTAGATTAAACACACAGCCAGAATGCACAATAAAACAAGCCAGTAAAATATATTATGCATTGCGCCCTGAGCCACAGAATGGGATGGGATTTTTCATTCAGTTCTCCTGCTGCTCATTCAATTTAAGCCCAGCAAGCATGTCCAAGTTTACGTCTACTTGTTTAGGATGCACATTGTGTTCACGATTTTGCTGGACAGAAAATTGTGGTGCGTGCATGAGGGGAAATATCTAAAAACATGTTTTACAGTACTTTTCATGTGAGGGAATGTGTATGTTTGGGGTGTGTGCAAGAGACAGGAACAGCTAATGTGACCTAGATAGCATGTGGAGTGTTATTAATAGTGTACCCAGGGTCCACATTCCTGCGCAGGGGATTGTGGGAGAGTTGCGGGACAAATCACCAGCCCTGTACTCATTACATAAATGCTGGTGTTTACATCATCATCTCATCTGGTTGTCCGTGTACCTGTGGAGGTGCGGGAGCGTCTCGGTAGCTTGGGAGAATTTTCAATGTGATTCCTCCGCTGCAATCTTTGAGCATCTCCTGCAGCTCGGTGGGGTTGTTGCCAACATCCTTTCCGTTCACTTCCTTTATAATGTCACCTACGTGGAGCAGGCCCTGCCTGTCAATCATGCCTCCGTGAAGGATTCTAGCAATGACCAGGTCATCTTTCTCCACACGAAATGTCACTCCCTGAGAGGAAGAGGAATGAGCAGGATGATGGTTTTACATACCAACTTTCGTTCCTCTTCATTCAGCCCCTTCTCCCCCAGCAATACCCACCCCCACACACACACTGTATGCAGACACACAGACTATCCTTTTCTGCTCACCAGGGGCTCTCCAGCCTTCTTTCGAATGCCAATCATGCGCACAGCGTCGGCCTGCATCAGAGCGCTGTTCACTGCTGCTTCATTGGTTGTCTCAGTCTGGGGTGGGACTTCATAGCATTTTGAGGCCACCATGTCGTGAGCCTCCAAAAGAGACTGAGAGGAAGGATAGAGGACAAAGTGTGAGGGAGTGAATAATGACCCTTGGATACTATCTAACTTTTGAAACAGAAAAGTCACTTTTCTCCTCTTATAAATGAAAATATGACTCTTTAAGCGATAAAATGCACACTTGGTCAATTACATACACTCAGGAATTTTGCAGCTAGAGTCTGGTATAACAATCCGCTCATGATGGCTAATGTTACCTACTGTTGTTTTCATATTTACTGTTATCCTGTAATTGTCACTTGGCCATGGTGAACACTGTTTAGCAAAAGTTACATAGTGTTACTTCAAACAAATCCATAGGTGAAGCCAAGAGCGTGGTCAGGCGTGGAACTGGCCACCCCCAGAATGTGACTGGTGCTACCCTTGACAGAGTCAAAATGTGATGCTTGTCAGTATTAATGAATGAAAAATGAAAAACAATGACAAATTGTTGCCTTAAATACAACTAACTTTTTTCTGGTGCTTTATCATTTTTGCTATATAATTCATTAGCTCCTACTGGTACTACTAATTAAAACATCTTGCCAACAATCACACAAACAGACACAGTAGGTATAAAAAAAAATACACATCTACATTATAAACTACATTAAATTTGTGATGTAATATCGGTTTCCCTCATTCTCTCCCCCCGTCTCTTCAGTAGGCCAATGGGGTCTTATCCATCAGCTTACAGCACAGTGGACTCTGATTGGTGCACAGGCTTTGCTGGGCTCAGAAGTCCAATTCCTATTGGTGTAGCGTGTATAAAGCCCCTAGTAGGTCTGGTTATAGAGCTTAGTGTTCTACTGATGCATGAGGATGTGGTCCAAAACATCTGCTACTGTGACTACAGTGAAAACATTACAACTATAGGGTGAACTTAACATATTGACTATATGATGAACTACTGAAAGAAAAACATCAGAACTTGTTCCTAGTTCTCATATATACACATTAACATAGAAACTCTTGTATTAATTTGCTCAGAAAACAGTGCTACAGTACATATGTGGTTTTAAAGGTTTTTGTTAACTGGCAGCTGAAGGTTGAATTACTGGAAACTGTGATCAGCAAAATAAGCATTTAATTATAATGTCAACTGGTGATATTAAAAGCATAGAGGTTGCAATATGTGTGTTTTAACATAGTGTCATTGGCCACCTGTACATTACTTTCCAACTGAGCTAATATTCAATCCATTAGCAGCATGTCCTGAAATAAAGTCTGATTCACCAGAACAAGGATTTAAACATGCAGTGCATGATGTGTGTGCTGTGTGAGTTACCTGGAAGTGTGGCTCCTGCAGGATCCTAGATAGTTCTGTAGCGCTGTCATCTTTAACCTTGAGGTTGTTGATGTCACCCAGGATCTCTGTCACCAGCTCTACATTGTTGTCCTGCACCGCCTCCAGCTTCACTTCCTCCAGCTGCTCGTGAGCCTGGGGAAGACAGACAAGTTCAGGGAGATACTTTTTGTTGTGCAGTTGGAAAGTAGTAGTGGGGAATGCTGACAGCCTGGATTCTGCACACAGTGTAGAAGCCAATTTACTGTGGGGTTGTTTTGCACTGGAAGCAAGTCTAGGTATTTTCATGTTACACTGTTATAAATCAAAGCAGTATTTGTTTATGTTTAGTCATCTGTCATCTCTACAAGTTCCAGCACTTTGGGGAGTAGCTGAAAGGGAGCAGAAAGTAACACCAGGATGTCTTGTGGGAACTCACTAGATTTCAAACAGCAGCAAAGATGTATGTTAGGGCAAGTAGTTCGTGTGCAGAGGCATTAACAATACATGCACTTACTGCACTTCAATCCCTTAGCCACAGCAAGCAAAGCACTGCTGGCAGAAGGGGGTGGGGGCTCAGAGCTAGCTAGACGTTAGTCTGCTCAGTGCTGCTCACCCTGAACTATATATGTGTGTGTGCTACCTTAGCCAGGGTGCGTACAATGGGACTTTCCATAATGCCACGCAGGAAGAGCAGGTCGATGTCTTTGGCGCCCGTGGAGTTGGGTAATTCACCCACATTATCCAATACCTGCTGCATGGCTGGATGGATGGAGCGAGAGACAAAGATATATATGCAGAGATACATGGAAAGAGAGAAAGATAAGAGTTAGCCAGATATGAAAGTCACACAAACCATAGACACAAACCCAACAGTGTTAACAATACTGCAGCAACTAGTACACACTGGTACCAGCCTCTGTTTACCCAGTTATTGTAAATCTATGCCAAAATACTTAAAATTATGTGATACCTTGATCTGCCATGAATGTAGTCCATTCAGTCTCTTCATACAGAGTTGTAAGCACAAGTCACACAGGTGATGACCCAGAAAATTAAAGCTTCTCGAACCAAGTCTGGTTTGTTCAAACTGAGCTAACATTTAGAGCTTACATTCAGTTCCCAGATCCCCACCAGAGCCAACAGATAGGCACAAAATCTCCAGGTTTCCATGATTCAAATGCTCAGTTGTAATGAAGTTTGGTTTCAAATTAACCATGTGGAGTCCTGTACGCTGTTCACACAGATAGAGAGAGGGAGCAGTGTGGACTATATGTGTCAGCCAGCAAACGCCCTAATCCTGGGGTATCAAAGCCCATTGAGTAAGTCCATTTAATACACTTACAGCCCTGGGAATGTGTGTGTGTGTGTGTGTGTGTGTGTGTATTTGTTCCCTTACACACTTGCATGGGTAGTAAATATGTTCAGTCAGCACTTGTATACAGTTGATTCACTCTGTGTTTTGCTTTCCCAGCCCATTATTACTCTTTAAACTGACTCATGTTTTATGTCATGAAGTCAAGTCACACTCTCCTATTTAGAAAAAAGTGGCACATACTGAATTGTAGCCTTGAAGGTACAAATTATGAAACACTGCCTTTCTGAGAGGTGTGGTCTAATGTTTGATACGTATGTGTACTTTTAAAATGTAAAACAACTTTCCTTTACAAGTACATGTGAATGCACGTGTGGTTCTCAGACGACAGGACATACTGCATCAAGTGATGATAAATATGTGAAAATATGAATTCCACATTTGCTTCTTTTGGGCACATTCAAAATGAATGTGTATACGTTTTAGAAGGAATTGTAATATAAATTCAACTTTTTTTCTTTTGTAGCACAAAACTTGTTACACCAGGTATAGAAGAGCTTAATAGCATCGTATCTTAAAACACTATTTACTGCATGACAGCACAGGAAGACAATCAAAACTCACTTCAATTAGTACATAGTATACTGTATGTGAATGGGATATTTTATTTCTGTGTAGACCACAGAAGTGTAATTCTAGCAAAGGCCATCACACAGCCACTAAAACACCAACTTGTTTGCAGTGTACTTCAAGGTAAATAGACTGCACTTTTCTACCATACTGGACAAAGTACAATTGCTGCCATCCATTTACACACATATAGAGAAACATGGCAGCCTGGCCACAGGGAGCAATTTGAGGTTCAATGTCTTGCTCCCCAGGCATCGAACCGCCAACCCAGTGATTAGAAGTTGACCTGCTCTGCCCCTGAGCCACAGCCACCCACAATGTGTTTTCATAATGTGTTTTCCAGTACTACCAGTTTTCACATTTAAATGGGGAGAGAGACAGCCAAACAGCCAAAACTAAAATGCCCCAGAGGGAGGAATTAGCGGCAGGTGAGAACAGAATGATTCATTATGTAGATGAATGAATCAGCTGGAAAACAAACACTATCAACTGTTGTCATCTGTTAGCTTTTACAACGTCTGTAGGCCAGGCTTGGCAAGAGGCTGGTTAGTGGCTGGTACACCATATTTTGTAGGATTATAGAGACTTTAGGTAGGAGGATTTAGTTTTTCTCTAGTCTCTCTCTAGGTGGGAAAGCATCACATAGTCATTTGTGTGGATGAGTCATGTACACGTGGCAGGGAGCAGAGGACGAGCTGGGATGAGTAAACATTCTTGTGGCTGAGGACGCAGTGACACAATGAGCTGATCAAATGTGTAAAGGTCACCAGAAAGACAGCATATGAACTTGGACACAGTGGGATGCATCTGTGTGTGTATTTTCAGATTGTGTGCATGTTCTTTTTCTCTTTCACACAGACAGCATTGCACATTTTAGACTTGCTCAGACTCTTGTATAGTATGTTTAACCATCGCCTCTATGTACACCTACCAGCACTGTGTGCTGTAAATACTTACGCAGACTCCCTGCTTACAAATGTCTGTTTCCCATGAGAAAAGACCTGACATCCTGTATTAATGTGGTATTATTATTTTGAAGCTCAAAAGATGTAGATCAGAAGAGCACCTTGAGTGGCACAAAAGTAACCCATGACAAAATAAACTGGCTTCGGTACATATTCAAACCTCATCTCATCTCATAGTCTATACCGCTTAGTCCCGAACGGGGTCGCGGGGGGGCTGGAGCTAATGCCAGCCGGCATCAGGCGAAAGGTGGGGTACACCCTGGACAGTTCCATATTCAAACCCCTTCACTTTTTGCAGTTTACTGTGTTTTAGGTTTTGCCTGTCAGTCTACACTCAATAACCCATAATATCAAAGTGAAAACATGATTTCTCTGCCCAAAGTTGTGAAAAAGTAGTTAATAATTAGCTAAAATGAATGCATCCATGGTTGAAAAAGTTAGCTAAAACCTTTGGGTAATAGATGAACAACTGTATTAGTTAAAGCTTTTAGCTAAAAGATTGAACTCTTTAGTAATAGATAAATGGACGAAATCAATAGCTAATGCTAAATTCACAGAAAAATAATAAGCTAACACTTTTAATTGATGGGCAAATGAAATCAGAAACAGATATTTAAATTAGTGGAACAGCACAGTTAAAATACACAGCGGAAATAGCTAAATGTATCAGATGAATGGTTGAATTAGTTAAAAAGCCTGGGTAACACTGTAGGTTCAAAGCGTTTTTTACTTAGCGGCAGTCTCACATATGCAAACATGACTAAAGCACTGAGTTCAAATATACAGTATGAAAACATTAATGTTTTATATAATTAATAGAGTAAATTAACATTCAGTATAAAATGAATTCAGATTACATGTCTGGAACATGACGGGTGGTGTCGATGAACTTAAGTTCATCTGACATTGCTGTGGGGTACACCAGATAATATGTGCTCAGAACCATCGCTCTAAAGGATCATCTGATCAAATACATTCAACGGTAACTTAAAAAACTGGCAATCACATCACTCTCTAGGAGCCTTCTGACAAGCAATACTACCTTCTGATTATAAGTGTTTTATAAAATCTTTCTATAAATCCCTCCATCTCAAGTTTCTAAACAAAAAGACTAGAGTATCTTTCTTAGTCTAAATATGTGACACCCAGGCTAACCACTAGTAAGCCACCAGAAGTTCTGCAACTATGTGTTTTGTCCTGCAGTCCAGCACTGCTGACTCTAAATTGCCATAAACATAGAGAGAAGTATAAAGGAGAAAATGTTAGAAGGGGGATTGAGGAAAGAGAATGAGTGAAACAAAGAGAGTGACAAGAGAGTGGGATTAAGATCTGGGGTATCAAGAAACGAGGAGAGAACAGAGAAATGGAGAGAATGGGGGTAATTTAAGAATATGGGAGAGGCTGAGTTGAAGGTGAGTTCAGAAACAGGAATGAAGAGAATAGAAACAGAGAGAGGTGAAACCACAGGTGTGGACGCGTGTTCAATGCTTGTCAATCGCCTCACCCCACTCCAGCTTTAATACCTTCTCTTCCTAACACTAACACCCCTCTATTGATGAAACACATCCATACAATCCCACAATCCCCTACTGCTGTTGATGGCTTGCTTGAGTAACCCCTCTCTGGTTTCCCTGACCCTTCACAAAGTCAAGGTGCCCCTCTTGTCTAGACAGAGTCCACACACACAAATACAGTACACCCAGCTGAATTTGTCATTATGTAAGTAATCTTACATAAGTGTTACTGAAGGGGCCTGACCCTACATTCCCATTGCTTACCTCCTTTTCTCATTCACACTACTTAGTGTGCTCATATGTATTCACTCAGTCATTGTCCACCTCCTTACAACAGTATTTGTCAACCTAAATGGAGCTTTTTCACTGTCTCTTACTTTTTCTTTCATCTCTGTGGCTCCTTAAATTAACGGGTTCTTATCCTGCTTCTGGCTCAGTCAGTATATTGAGTTTCTGAAAGAATTATGCACATTTTCTGGGCTACAATTTGACCTCTTCTATGCCTGATCTTAAATACTACATTTGGGCAATCTATTGGGTGCATAACTCTCATAACAGGAACCTTTTTTTCTTTTTAAAAATATTTTTCTTTTTATATGGAGATGATAGAAATAAGTGATCACTACACAAAAAATGAATGCATGAACACTCCGCATCAAGGCCATCCTGGCAAGAGCCAGCTCTGTGAGCACACACTTAAGCACAGAATTACTTTGAGCTAAGTGCCATCATCATCATGCTAACATGCTCACAATGATAACATGCTATTAAATAACAAGTACACATTAGCATGTTCATTCTAGTTTAGCAGGTTAGCATGCTAATATTTCTACAATATAGCTGAAGCTGATGGGATTGTCATTAGATTTCCAAAAATTTGGTCATAAACTATTGGACAAACATACATTTTGTCCTGATGATGGCAGTAGATGAAAAATCAGAAGTCATTAAGGTCTCAGTCCATCTAGAAGATAAATGTCTGTATAAAATTTGTGTGGCAGTTTCATCCAGTAGATGCTGAGATTTTCAATGAATAGGTGAGAAACTGAACCTGCTGGTGATGCTTGATAAAAAGTCAGGAGGTGATGAAATTCTTTCAAATTTATCTTATAAAGGACAATGATTGTCTGCACAAAACTTCAAGGCCATCCATCCAATCTTGTTGAGGTATTTCAATTTCAACTGAAGTGTTGGGCTAACTGACTAAAGGACCAACACTGCTGCCTCTTGAGCTGTATGGATAAAAAACAAAAACACTGCTAATACGCTGCAACATACCATAACACAACTGATCTGCAAAAGCTAAGCAGAAATGGTATGGCTGTCCTTGCATCAGTTGAAATACCAAAGCTGTCAGGATGATAAAGCAAAGCAATAGTGGTAGCTGATACATCACAGGGTTTAGCCTGATCTAAAAACAGGCTCCTCCCCTTCACCACGGCAACACAGCTGTGCAAGCGGCAGATCTGTATGCTTTAATCCACCGTGCCTCTCCCTGCACTCCATCCCTAACACAACTAGGCAACCCCTCCCCCAACTCAGGACGTGGGATTTTGATCAGGCCACAGAAGCACCGGATTACAGAATCTGTTGCTGCCTCTCTCATCATATCCATGCAGAGGCATCTCTGCAGAGTTAATATTACAGTACAACACATTACCTGGTTTGGCAATGGCTGAAATGGCCTTTAGCAAGACACTACTATGTTGCACTACATTTCTCCCACAGAACTAAAGGCAGTCTGTTGATGAGTCACACGTCTTTCCCCCAAAATGTTAACTTAAATATTCCTCTTTAGAAACTAATTTCACACAGTTTACTGAAGTAGAACAGCTGAGTAAGGAAAAAACAAAGCACTTGGGCTATGACAAAGCATCATGGGAAGTAACACAGATTTTAAGAAAACAGCTGGTCATCAAGTTGTGAGACGCCTGTATGAGTAAGAACTCTGAACCTGAGATCAGAACATTTAGCACTGCATGGAAACTCGTTGAAAGTTGAGGTCTGAACAGTTTTATACATCCTGCACTGACAAAAACATTGGAACAAACCCAACAGCAGCCAGTAGGTTAGTAAATGTACTTCCTGATTCATAGGCAGCAAATGAATATATGTAGACCCTTGTTATATAAAAACCTAGAAACTACAATTATACAGCTTAGATCAATATTATTATGACCAGTCTGGCACAGAGAATGTTTTATTAACCTTGTAATCCACAAGAACATAAAAGCCCTCATAGAAAAACCAGCTACTTCTGAACTTGAGCAGTGCTCCACCCATTCTTGCTTCAAAGTCTGGCAGTTCTCCCACCTGACTGACAAAATGCCAGCACTCAAAAAATATTTCCCTAAATGACACCAGTGTGTCAGTACTAAGGAAGAGATGGGAAGGTCTGGTGTTTACCTCTGCCCGTCGTTGTAGTCCTACTGGCTGCTCATCAGTCAACTGTGAAGACCTGGAGAAAGAAATGGAGAGTGAGATGTGTGAAAGTTTGTGAGGCATAAGTCATGAATATTCAGCTGCACTTGCATTCCAGTTTTCATCATTCCTCCCGCACACTCTTATGTAATCATTCAGATACACACTTGTGGTTTTTCCCTCACACACATCCAGTGATTCCTTCTTTTTCCCTGTGGATTATTTGTTTTATCTATCTATGTCGTCCTGTTGCCAGATAGGAGCCTTGCATGCAAACTGAGGCCATTGTTCTTTCAGAGCAAAGCACAGTCATCCAGCATGATTCATTGTCTTCAGCTATCCAAGGATGCCTGGATCATCAGCTGGCACAGTAGTAAATGACCACTATTCTCTGAAAGTAGTGACAAAGCAGTGTGCATTCATTCCCAGAAAGATACACCTCCCACCCCTACTTGCAAACTCACACATACATACACACTGTCACTATGTTTATCATATTGGGTTTTCCCAATATATTATCAGCTAATATTGGCTAATTAAGGATTTTTTGTATAGTTGGACATGGTGGCTAATATGCAAAAACAGCACATCTTGCAGTAAGCAGTGCTTTAGAAACAGTCATCCCTACATTTTATGTGTACACAAATACTTTGCAGCACCTGTGTTGACAGTACCTGTGGGGAAAAAACATTGATCCTACAAAAACCAACTGATGGATCCTCGCTAAAAGTGTCGATTTATGTTAATAATAATGATGATGATAATAAGAATAATAATAATAATAGCCAAAAATCTTTATCAGAATAAGATGACAGTCTCATACTGTATCAAGCTTTCTTATTGCTTCTGAAGCTGTCGACTGTATTACATGGTCTTCATCAGAACAATGAAGAACTGTCAACATCAGTTTTTGAGCTAACAAGGACAAAGAGTATTAGAAGTGCTCAAACCATGGTAAGTTTTACACTCTGCACTTCCATGACAGCTGAACAAATTCTGTCTGCTGATGAGGGCCATGAAATATAATCAAAAGATCTAGAACAAGCAGGTAGATAGACCCTGAGTTGAGACTGTTCTGTCAGCTGCTGTATCCAAGGATAACAATGGACTGTCAAACTAAAGTATCCATCCATCCATTATCTATATCACTTATTCCTGAATAGGGTCGCAGGTAGGGGGGGCTGGAGCCTATCCCAGCTGACACTGGGCAAGAGGTAGGGTACACCCTGGACAGTCTATCACAGGGCTGACAAGTAGACAAACAACAACACACACCCACACTCACTCCTACGGGCAATTTAGAGTCACCAATCAACCTAAGCTCCAAGTCTTTGGACTGTGGGTGGAAGCTGGAGTACCCAGAGAGAACCCACGCAGGCACAGGGAGAACATGCAAACTCCAAACAGAAAGGCCCCGGGTGGGCCAGGACTCGAGGCAACAAGGTCAAAATGTTTATTTGTCATTTGCACAGTTAGGAAACTTGTTTCCCTGTACAATGAAATTCTTATTTTGCTGTCCACGTGAATGCCACACAATACAAGTGAAATGTAAAGTAGATGAGCATTAACAAATCTAAATAGGCAGTAACACAAATCTAAGGCACTTTAAAGCAGCAAGTGAAAGAAGCACAATAAAAATATAACACAATATAATGCAGAGAATATATGCTACATGGGAGCTATGAAGTGCAAACATTCAGCAGTGAGTGTGCAATTATGCATGTGCAAAATGAGTATGTAAACAGTACAGATGAAATTACATGAGGTACATCCTGGGTCAGCTGTTTAGGAGTCTGATGGCAGTTGGAAAGAAAGAGTTTTTCAGTCTAGAGGTCCTGCATTTCACACTTCTCAGCCTCCGACCCCAGGGTCAAAACAGCCAATGAGAGAAGCATAATGAAGAATACAACAAGAGCACAATACAATGAAGAGCGAATGTATGCTACATTGGAGCTGTGTGTGCAAATATTCAGCAGTGAGTGTGTAATTATGAGTGTGTGAACAGTACAGGTCCAATTATATGAGGTAGTTCCTGAGTCAGCTGTTTAGAAATCTGATGGCATCTGGAAAGAAAGAGTTTTTCAGTCTAGAGGTCCTGCATTTCACATTTCTGAAATTCCAGCCAAAGGGTAGGGATGTGAACAGGCCATGCTGGGGGTGAGTAGGGTCCTTGAAGATGGAGGCAGCTTTCCTACGCACCCTGCGGTGGTAAATGCTCTGCAGAGAGGGCCGTGGGGTC